TAGTAGTAGAATAAGAGTATTAGTTTAGTTTTTTTTTTTTTTGGTTCGTAAGGTCATATGTTAGCTTCTTTATTGCCAGAGTATCACCCTCAAATCAGCAAGTACTTGACATTAATTTATTATATATGTCAAAAATGTAAAAGCTTAATAGTTGAAAAATGTAAACAGTATTTCATCAGCATGACACGTAAAACATACCTTTTTGCGAGTCCAGGTCCATTCCTGGTTTCCAAACCTCTCTATTTTGCTCTCTGAGAGATCAAGCATGGTAAGTTCACTTGGATAATAATCAGAATAAAAGCTTGAAAGTGTGCATCTTTTCCATTGGAGCCATTTTAGTGAAGAAGGTAACTTCCCCAAATTTCCCTCTAGTTTCACATTATCGAATTGAAGTAGCCGCAGATTAACTATAGGATCAAATACTTCAGTGTTCAATACCAACTCATTGGTTTTTTTTGCATCATTTTGAAATTGTTCTTTGCACAACTCTTTAATGTAAGCTAATGCAGAAGTAAAAGTCGGAACTTGTTGAAAATGCTCTCTAGTAATTGCTTTCGCGCTTTTAATCTTTGATGATGGCTTCTGATACTGATCCAGGATGATCCCTTGGATGTGCTGTGTCCCCTGTTGTTTTCATGACAAATTCTTTTTGTTTAGTATAAAATGTAAGTTTAGCAGAAAACAAAAACACAAGAAAGAAGCTGGGAGTCCTTGTAGTGTATTAAGAAAGAAAATTAATAATACAAGATGTCTGGAAGTGTTTAAGACTTAGCATTAGTGCTGGGAGTGCAAATTAAATGCTTTTAATCCTGATTCCTGATTTACAGATTTTCTCATTTTAAGCTAGTGATTTGTCTTACAACTTGAAATAGCTGAAGGGTCTTCTTTTTATTAATCTCTTACCTCCAAAATCCACTACATGTTATGAGACCATGGTCTAGAAGTAGACAGGACGCAATATTATCCCCCTCGTAGATTTCATTAGCTCTCTCTCAATGGTTTAGTAACCATTACCTTTTGCTCTTGGTTAACTCCCTGATCTAGAATAGTTTTTTGTACTAAGAGTTAACCAAGTTTCTATTGTAACCTTTTGCATCTTCTTGATGCCTATAATGAAACACCTTACTTCATCAAAAAAAAGAAGTAGACAGGACGCTTAATCTAGTATACTATATAATAAAACCGTTTAACTTCATTACACTATCCGGTCACCTAAAGTAACTACAACTACCTGTTCGTAAAGAGTTGGATTAGTAACGTGAAAAACAAGGCAGGTTACCTCTTACAACATGTCAAAATGTACTGATAATATAAAAGAACGTTTTCTCGTATAAGTTAAATCGTAAAAAAGACATACCTTCCTTCCTTGTAACACACTCAAAACATCAGCAACATCCCAAAGTCTGCTGCGCTTCCCGGGATCTGAAATGCCTTGTTGTATAACAATTTGTCTTCCCATATCTCTTATCTGGTCATGCATCCACAAATCCCCACCATCAATTACCTTAATCAATGATCTAGCAGTTAAAGTGTCAAATGCAATGCTGGCTCTAAAACCACATCCTTTCATCACATCAATTATATCTTCAGCTTTCTTTTCTAATTGATCAAGAAATAAACACGCAACATCAAGGAATATACACTTCTCTTCATCATCAAGACCATCATAGCTTATTTTCAAGATGTCCTGAAGACGAGGTGAGCGAATTTGTTTTAGCTTTTCTAGAGCATCTATCCATTCCTCCTCGCTTCTTTTATCAAACAAGAAAGAACCAAAAACTTCAAGAGCCAATGGTAGCCCTCCAGTGATTGAGACAATTTGTTGGGACATATTCACAAAAGCTGGAAATGGCTCCTGTCTTCTAAATGCATGGTAACTGAACAGTTTTAGTGAGTCAGGACCACCCAATTCTCTCACCTCAAATGTCTCGTTAACGATGTCTTCTAGCAAAATTCCTCTGTTTCTAGTACTAATAACAACCCTGCTCCCTTCAAAAAACCAGTTTTTCCCACCAATTAGTGCCTTCAGTATGTTAACATCATCATTTACATAATCTACATCATCTAAGACAAGCAGGACGCGCTTTTCTTGAAGAAATCGTCCGAATTTTACTCTTCCCTCATGTGCATTACTAGGGGAGAAGGAGAAGACCTTGCTCGGGAAAAGACCTTGTATTATTTTCTTCTGAAGGGACACAATGCCTTGTTGAGCAACTATTTCTTTAACATTCAAGATAAAAGTCCTGTGTGTAAAATGAGAAGCAAATTTATTATAAACAGCCTTAGAAAGAGTAGTTTTACCAACCCCTCCGATTCCATGCAACCCAATAATCTTGACACCATTGTGCTTCACATCTAACTGCCTTATGAGTTCTTCCAGACGGTAGTCAATTCCAACAACAAATGGAGCTACAAATATTGGGGAATTGCTCAATTTTTGTAAAACTCTTTTCACCAAATTCTGTATCAACTGTGACTCTTCACTGCAGATTGCAAGCAAACATCAGTATTGTTAATTTGGAAGGTCTTACTTTTCCTACTAAACTTTTATGAGTTTAACTTCTATACAACGAGAACTTTCATACAATTTGATCACTAAAAAACATGTATTATTGGGATTAGGCTATGGAGGTCGAAGATTAGGGTAGAATGTTAGTAGGTAGTCGAATAGAGATGTCTCACTTTCCTGTGGGAGAGTCGTGGTGACAGTTTGGAGCACCTTATCTGTTCCTCCTTCAGTACTATTAGTATTATTCTCGTATTATCCTATTCTGCAATTTTTTATATTACCTGTTGTTTCCTTTGCATCGGCTATCTTATTATTTTGTTGTTGTTACTGTTTCTTTTCTCCAGTATTTCCAACATGGCCTCTTCACTACTCTTTTCTCAAACTTGATTTTCTTTTTTCTTTTTAAGCCGAGGGTCAATCGGAAAAAGCTTCTATAATCACATAAGGGGGTAAGGTGTGCGTACACACTATTCTCTCTAGTTCCCACTTATTACACTGGGTATTTTATTGTTGTTATATTACAACAACAACAACCCAGTATAATCCCACTTAGTGGGGTCTGGAAAGGGTAGTGTGTACGCAGACCTTACCCCTATCCTGGGATAGAGAGGCTGTTTCCAAATAGACCCTCGGCATCCTTCCCTCCAAGAACTTCCCACCTTGCTCTTGGGGAGACTCGAACTCACAACCTCTTGTTATTATATTGTGATTCATAAATGATAACCTGGAAAATAACGAAGATTACTTGCTACTAAAGGTTAAATACACTAATTGTGTAAGAATTCTTGTACTTAAATTCTTTCCTAAAACCTTATAAAAGATAATTAAGAAGTAAACGAAGATGATACGGGTAATGTGAATATAGTTCAGATAGTTGTTCTTTTTTCTTTTTCCCATGTATAATCTTTTCCTTTCTTAAGAGAATCTCATTAACGAAAAAAAAAAAAGGATGATTTCAAGTTTTCAACAAATATTTACAAGATATGTGTGTGTATGGGCGTATGGCTCAACCCTAACCATTTCCCAAATTTTTTTATATTTGTGGTGTACTGGCCAGCTTGTAGGCACCTAGACTAATTTCACGTGATAGCTGTCACCTTCCACCAGCAATAGCTGCCACCTTCCACCAGCAATAGGTATGAGGTAACTCTGTCCACTACGGCCTAAACAGATGTAAAGAAATCACCTAATGTTTTTGGCTCCGCTGGAATTTGAACCACATTACCCAAATTAGCTTCAAGTGAGACTTGTGAAGTTATTCCTCATATTATTATTTATATTTCAATTATTTAATCTTTTGCTTTATGGTACGTAATTACTGTTTAAGGTAAATGATAGTGAGCAGTTAATTAAAAGAACACCTTTATAATTATTAGAAAGAAATTTGAAATTCAGAATCATCGCGATTAGGCTGTTGGCTTTTTGTACGCATGAACAAAAGAAAAGGCAATTATTTCTTCTATAGTAGGTAATTCTTCCATATTGTTGATGTATTCTTGATTTTCTTTGGCATGGTCATACAACGGTATCCTTGGACCATAAGGACTGTTAATAAAGTCAACACTACTGAATAATGAAGTTGAATTAACCACCTTATTTGATTAAAAATAAATACTAATAAAAATACCAATTAAAAGCAAAAGTAAGCAATTGAAGGTTATAATTGATAAGCCCTAATATATACAGGCAACTCAAAAACTGCCCATTAACTGCGCCTGTTTATATAAAAATTAAATAATCAAACCCATCTGGGACTACAACAAATTTAAAATTAAGCAAACGTATTTTATTGAGTTAAGATTCTGGTTACACAATACAATATTTGTAAAGTAGGCCAAGTTTAAATATTGTTGCGTGCATGGGACACTGCAGTTCCAACCTCGTCGGATCTATAGTCGAATTTACGAGTTAGTTATACAGATACCGTTAGAGATTGTGATGTAGGGATTATTTACTTTAAGAATTATTTTGTCATTTGTTACTCTTATATGTATTACTAATATTTCCTCCGTCCAAGTTTACTTTTTTACTATATATACTAGAATGGATGTCTACTTTTACTTGTTCAGCTTGGAGAATCAATGGATAATTTACCATTTTACATCTAGGGATAGCAATGGGGCGGTGCGAGTGCGGGGCGGGTCAAATTGAGTTTTGTAAAATTTTGTGTGGGTACGGTGCGGGTACGGGTTTTAACTTTTTGCAAAATTATAACATTTCAACTTTCAATAATATTATTACAAAGAGAAATATTTACTTTTTCATTTTTGAACTTGCGATTCCTTTCTCCTATGCATTGATTATTTTAGTCTCAATCTAATTTGGTTTTTAGGAGGAATACTTGAACATTTATTTTGTTGAATGCAAATATGTATGTTTCGGTTGTTTGCATCTCTGGGAAGAAAATATTATATTATATCTTTTTTAGTGTTTTAAACTCCCACTTTAGCTATATAGTTATTTTATTTGAGTCAAGTAGATAATTAGTTGACACATTTTTATGTATGTAATCTCATTACTTTGTATATATGAATAATTAGAAATGACATACCGATATTTCAAATTAAATTTCAATATTGATGCATGTAAAATCAAAAAAAAAGTATATTAAAAAAAAAAAATTAAAACCGAAGACCGTTAAAAGTTAACTGACAACATTCGGTAGGATTTGTAGTTATTTGCTAGTTATGGCTATTCAAAATTGGACTTCCTGGTTTTGACTTGGNGGGCTGGTGGATGCGGGTAAAAATGCTATGCGGGACGGGACGAGTTGAAATTTTGTGGGTTAAGGTAATTAAAACCGCTCCTCACTCGCCCCGCCCCGCCCCATTGCCATCCCTATTTGTACCTTTTTTTACCTTTTTTGTTAAGTACTGGAGTACCTATTTTCAATTTATTTTCCAACATAGAGTAAATAGGGGTAATATAGTAAAATTACCATATTATTTATTATTTATTAATGTGTATGTTAAATCAATAGTGGACAAGTAAACTTGAAAGAAGAGAGTACATATTTCGGTGGAACTTCTACGAGTAAGCAATACATAGTCTAGTATGACCAGTGGTGGATCTATATGGAGTGCATGGATTCACATGAACCTATATTCCCTTTCCTAGATCAAATGTTATATTTTTGGGAAGATGCATAAGTATCCTCTGACCAATAGCCGTATTTCTAACTACACATTTTATCTTATCGAGGACCTTATTATCCCCCTAAATTATTTTTAAATAAAATTACTATATCCTTTGTGCTAATGTGGCAGAAGAGAGTGTATGATACTCTACTTGGGAGAGGGAGAAGGAGAGGGAGAATGCTGAAATTTTGTTTTTATAAAACTTAAAGAGTAAAATCTGAACTCGGTCTCGCTGAAGAATATGGAGCATGCCGGAGCTAATTTTCGGCCAAGTCTATAAGTAAAGAAACTGGATGAAAGAAAAGGAAAAGAGAAGATAAACAAGAGCAATAGGAAAATAGTATTTTATAAAAATGTTATAAAAATAAAATTTCAACTTTGTCTTTCTTACTCTTCCAAAGAGAGTAACACACACTCTCTTTTGCCACATCGGCACTAAGGGTATACTAATTCTATTTAAAAAAAGTTCAGGTGAATAATAATATTCCCGCAAAGATAAAGTGTGTAGAAGGAAATTCGACTATAGATCAGGGGAGTGCTTATGCATTTTCCCAAAGAAAGAACAAGGAAGAAGAATTTAGTTGTTGATTGTTGATTGCTAGAACATCGACTTGAGAAGCACGAAAAAAGAAGTAGCTACCTCGGGAGAGGGATGAGAGTAGTCTTTATACCACTTCGACGGATAGCTCGTAATGTTGCATCTCTTCCGAGACCGGGACCTTTTATCATGACTTCTGCTCGTTGCATACCTTGATCCACTACTGTAAGTTTCTAGGAGCTCACCGTTTTTCTATCTGCTTGTTCAACCAAAAAAATTTCACTACTTCGGTTATGGATTGAGTGATTTGAGAAGGTGGGTTGTGTAAAAAGGAAAAAAGAATTTTAAAAAATACAAAAAGTGAGTTGGGAAAGGAAGTAGATGGGAAAATAACAAGAAAAAAAATAATTTTAGTGGGAAAAACATATATCAGACGCGTGTATTTCACCACCAAACACACATATATTAGTGGTATTTCAGGGTGATACTAATTCCATTTAAAAATATTTCAAGGGGTAATAGTATCCCTGTAAAGATAAAGTATGTAGTTAAAAATTCGACTATAAGTCAGGAGGTACTTATACATTTTTCTAAAAGTACTTAAATATATATGTGCATATGAAAGCTTATAGATTCATATGGTGCGATAGTTATTGAATGCACTTTTATAGGTGAGGTTTTGGGTTTATTTCTCAAACTTTCTTTTCTAGGAGAATTGGGTCCACCCGTGGAGAATAACCATGTTCCTTCTTGCATTTTAATTAAGTTCTTAATTCTTTTTCTTCCTTTCTTTGTTTTGGTTTAATATCCTTCCAACATTCTCAAGTCTGGCACATTGAAATTGCTATTCTCCTTGCCATATATCAGTAGCTTTAGTATAATTCTTGTATTTTCTTATACTTAAATTTCTATTATCACATGCTATTTTTTTTTTGTTTCTGTTATTTTATTATCTTGCTATTGATACTGCTTCTTTTACTGTATTCCTTTTGAAATTGCTATGATTGTGTTTTGCTTGAGCCGGGGTATATCGGTAACAACCTTTCTTCCTTTACAAGGTAGAGGTAAGGTTGCGTACATACTACTCTCCCAAGACCCTATTTGTGAAATTATACTGGATTGTTGTTGTTGTTGTGTGTGTGTATATACCTTGAACCTATAATTTCTCAACCAAAAAAAAAAAAAAAAATTGAACCTATAATATCTAAAGTGCAATGTGTCTAATGCTAGAAATGTAAAAGTTGAACCCGTCGAATTTAAATCTTACATCCACCTCATTGTGATGGTGCAACACATCTTGTTGATATCCTAGAATCTCCCCCGAGCATGGCCAACCAAATGCTAATTCATAAATTACCTGCTGATCTTTTTAAAATTAAAACCAAACAAATATTGTACTCCCTCCATACCTACATATTTATGTGTTGTTTGATTGGGTACAAAGTTTAAAAACGAAAATATTTTGAAATTTATGATCTAAATCAAGCCTTAAGTATTTGTGTGACTATAAATAATTTCTTAGGTAGTCGCGAGTTATTCTTTTTCTTCCTTAGTATCTATATTACTCTCGTACTTTCTTATAGTTTTGTATAACTACATGTTGTTTTATTGCTTTACTTTTGTTTCTTTTTTTTTTTTTGATTTGTACCGGGTGTCCGAGTCTCTAAGAGCTCCGACTAATCCCGGGGGTGCACAGGTCCTCGGCAAGGAGTTTTCCGCAAGTGCACCACAGTTAATTCAGGTTTTACCCAATCCGGCTCAAGTCTATTGCCACCAGGCCAACCCCTGAGGGTTATTGCTTTACTTTTATTGTTATCTTGTTGTTGTTGGCATTATTTCGTTTTTTGTGTTTTCTTTCCGTGGTTTGTCCATTATTGTATTTCCTTTTGACATTGGTGTGATTTATTTTTTCGGAGCCGAGGGTCTATCGAAAACAGTGTCTCTAACTTTATAAGGTAAGGCTAATGTTGCGTATACTCTACTCTTCTAGATCTCACTTGTAGGATTATACTGGATTTGTTGTTATTGTAAGGGTTAAATGAAAATTTCAAAGTTAAGATATTTCTAAATATAAAAATATGTCATTCTTGTTGGTACATATTAAAAAAAAATGTGCGAGATAAATTGAGCCATAGAAAGTATTAGTTATTGGGAAATTTATACTGTGATTATTTTTGTTAGTGTGAGTTAACCAAATGACTTGCATAAATATGTAATTTTATTAATGAGGAAAAGAAACAATGCGACCAACGTTATTATTTTAAGCCGAAAAGAAAACATTACTATTATTTGAATAATTCTGATCAAAATCGCCTTATCAAGCAATCAACCAAAGATGCTAATGTTATCAAGTGTCTATCCTGGAGCAACCGTCGAGGGTTGATCTTGCACCGAATGCAGACGTTAGGGTTGCCAATATTCATGGCGAATTATTTAATTTGTATCAAATCAGTAAAGTAATATATTTAATTTGTAACTTGATTCCAATTGGTTAGAGAGAAGATAGAAAGAGAGAGAGAAATTATATTACCGATTATAATAAACCCAGCCGGAGATTCCACCAACTCTTTCCATAGCATTTCTCCATCTCACCACCTTTTCCACTCCAAACCTTCCTTCTAAATTCTCAAAATCACGTAGAAATGGTCCTCTCTGCCTTCGCACATCCGACGGGTCAACCCGGTAGAAAACGGGCAGAACGAGTTTACCCAACTCACAAATCGTCGCTAATTCCTCGAGACACCATCTCGACGAAGCATAATTGGGTGAAATAATAGCAATAGCTGCAGCAGAATCGTTGATTGCATCCATAAGACCTGGTGCGATCTCGTCGCCCTGAGTTAACCCGTTTGTGTCACGAAAAACTCGGACGCCTTTTGAGTATAAGGCATCGTATAAGTTTTTAGTGATGTTTTCGCGAGTATCTTCGCCTCTGAAACTCAAGAACACGTCGTAATTTAGCCTTAGCGATGGGAGTGAAGTTGTTGTGGCCTGCTCTATTTCCTCCATTGATTCAGTACTGTCAAAATGCTTTCTGCTTTCAGTACGTAGGCATTGAATATATGTACCAGTAGCAGGAAGTGGAAAAGGGTTATAAAAGGAATTTCATTTTATTTTCTGTTTCTTTTTTCTTTTTCTTTTTCTTTTTTCCTTTTTGTTTTGGTAGATTTTTCACAGCAAATGACGAGAGACAAGAAAAGAATCACATGGTAACTTTTGTGTCGGTGAAGGACGATGAAGATAATGGATGGTGTTTGAATTACCGGTTAATTTTAGGGATAAACTTTACTTGTCATAATAATAAGATTACAAAATTAGTTTTTCGTCACATTAAAATAACTTAATTATGAGTGAATTTTTCAAAAAATACAAATTATAGGAAGGTCAAATTTATGTTGTCGAATTAAACACATCACTCAATTCTTTGTCACTTTGTAAATCTCGCATCAATGTAAAAAATAACATCTTTAATCATCTAGGTATGAAACTTAAGACAATTAAAAAAGACTCATTTTTTTCCCTTGAATCCTAACGGGCTTTCAAACATGAGGGTAATTTTAGGGGGGAAAATGAGGTATAGCCAGATTTATAACTGGTAATTGAAAAATAGTCAGTGTTTCAGAAGTAATTGAAAGTCAGTTTTTTGTGTAAAGATATAATCTAAATAAAAACACCCTTAAAATTCGGAAAGAATCCACATAATATGCTAGAGTTCAAATTTTTTATATATGAGATTCTAGTATAATATGCTGGAATCTCATATGTGCTGGAGTTTTAACATAATATGCAGGAAGTTTAAATAGAAGAGATCCAAAATCTAGTATATTATGTTGGAATTTTTCGTGCTGGAGTTCCAACATAATATGCTGGAAGTTTATACGCAGGAGCTCCATAATACAGCATATTATGCTGGAACTTTTCATATTTCAGCAAAACAATGGCTATTTTTTAATGACTTTACAAACGCTGACTATTTTTCGATCACCGGTCCAAAAACTGGTTAGGCCATACTACTTACACGTAATTTTAAAGCATAGTCAAATGTTGAAGGGTATATTTAAAAAATTTAACCTTCTTGAAGAATTTGAACTTGTAGGGTGTGTTTGGTACAAAGGAAATCATTTTCAGAAAAATATTTTTCAATTTTTTCATGTTTGGTTGGTTTAAATATTTTGGAATATATTTTCCTAATCAACTCATTTTTTTTCAATTGGAGAAAAATATTGGGAAAACATTTTCCAAAACTCCTTCTCAATTTTCCCCACCCTAGTCCCCGTCCCCACCAACCCACCCCACCCCCTCACCCCCACCTCCATCCTAAATAAAAAATTATTAGTAGTACTTTATTTTCATGTTAGAGATAGATTAATTTTTTTTTTTGCATTTTAACAAATGATTATTTTTTTATACGATATTAAAAAGTTTTTTATTCATTCAACAAAAAAGTACTTTTTTTTCATAGAAATCTTCCATTTTAAAAAAATATATATTCTTTTCATGATGTAAAAATATTTTTTTTTATTTCAACAAAATGAGTATTTATTTCATGATGTAGAAAAAGTATTTTCTTTTATTTCAATAAAATAAGTACTTTATTTTCATGTTGTAGAAAGAGTACTTTCTTTTTCAATTAAAATAATATTTTCTTTTTAGTTATGGAGCACAAATTTTAACATTATTTTTGCGTAAAAAAATAGACCAACACATTAGTTCATTTGGGTTTCTGTGAATTTTTAAAAAAATAATTAAATTCTTGAAGAAAAATAAAATTCCGCAAATGTTGGGTATTTGGGGGAGGGGCGAACAAGGAAACATGGGGACATTGGGAAAAATTTATATGTCCAAATATAAGTTTTACCCGATATATGACCAACCCTAGTTAGACCACGTCAGCACTTCGGGTCTCCTCGTGAACTTAAATGTAGAAGCAATTAAAAAAAAGGTGGTACAACAGCTTAGGTCAACATCAAAGAGCAATTATCAATTGGAACAAAATTAAGATTTCTTATTTTTTGGAACTTGTTGATTTATTTTACTCTACTTCGATAGAGTAATGGGTAAGTCGTGGAGCAGGGACCACAATTTTTAGCATACGATGATCTGTTTAAAGTAAAGAGTTGACCATTCTATTTTGGAATCTGAGAATATTATTTTAATCTTTAACGCATTATTAGATTTTGTCACGATCCCAGTTCGCCCATCGTGAAATGTCGTGACGGCACATAGTCTCTACGACTAGGTAAGCCTAACAATGCGAAACATAAACAAAACTTGCGGAAGAAATAACCAAACACCAAAAATAACCGAAATAAAAGATATATAAAATATCGCTCGGCATACACAATACTTAACTTCTCAAAACCAATACATACTCCCAAAACCCGGAAACCCATGAATCACAAGCTAAGAAATACTACATAGCTCTAACTCCGGAACGTCTAACAAGAACAGAAAGTACAGAAGGGCTAAATACTAAATACAGGAATAGAAAGAGACTCATCGGTCTGCGGACGCGGCAGATATACCTCGAAGTCGCTAGAGTAGTCGCCTCGCCTCAGGGGTGATAGGACTGGATAGAAGTACCTGGATCTGCACATGAAAAACATGCAGAAAGGGCATGAGTACACCATGGCGGTACTCAGTAAGTACCAAGCCTAACCTCGGTTGAGTAGTGACGAGGAAGGTCAGGGTCCTACTGAGCTCAAAAGAAATACGAGATAAAACAATATAGAATAAGACATTATAACTGAGTGCAACAGTAAGAGATAACCAAAATAGAAGAACAACAACAACTAGAACAACGACAGATAATAACATAAAGGAAAATACAATTCAATGCAGAAATAACAACCTGGGGTCTACCAGGATCCCGTCCTGTAGCCCCAAATGTAAATACTCAGTACAGGGGGAATCTACCGGGTGCAGTCCCGTAGTTCCACTGTAAATGTGCGGAGGGGATCTCCCGGAATACCACATCCGTAGTCCCAAATAAACAAACAAGGGGGATATCCCAGAATACGACATCCGTAGTCCCAAATAAACAAACAAGGGGGATCTCCCGGAATACCACATCTGTAGTCCCAAATAAACAAACAAGGGGGATCTCCCGGAATACCACATCCGTAGTCCCAAAGTAAACACACAGCAACAACACGAAGAATAAACAATTTAATTCAAATCCCATATCAACGTAAAGCAGGTATTTCTAGCCTAGCATGTTGCACATAATCCAAATAAGGCATTTTGGTCAAGTAAATCAATTAAGTCAATTAGACATGCTTCTCTAGACTAACAACAGACTTAAATTCCAAGTAGTGTAAACAAGAAAAAGGAAAATACAATTAAGGCTACTTTTCATAAAAATAGGATATTCAACAATTTGCTAAAGTACGCGCTCGTCACCTCACGTACAAGGCAATTCAAATACCACAATACCAATCCTAAGGGAAAGTCCCCCATACAAGGTTAGACAAGCCACTTACCTCGAACCAGCTCAATAATCAACCTGAAACCACGTTCTTGCCACGAGTATTCGACTCCAAATGGCCCAATTCTATTCAATTCAATTGCATAATGTAAATAACACTTCAACTAACTGATTCTACAATTAAATTCTAAGCAAATACGCGAAATTAGGTAAAATGACCCAAATGCCCCTCGGGCCCACGTCTCGGAATCCGGTAAAATTTACATTTCTAGAATCCTCACACTCTCACGAGTTCATTTATACCAAAATTATCCAAATTTCATAATATTTCGACCCTCAAATCCTCAATTCTATCCGGGAGGAATTTCTAAACGTTTCCAACTAAATTCACAGATTTAATGCCAAAACTTGTAATAGATTCGAGTAATCTAACAAAAATTAAGTTAAGAACACTTACCCCGTTGTTTTCTCTGAAAATCTCCAGAAAATCGCCTCACCCCGAGCTCCAAATCGTCAAAAATGGATCCCATTTTCAGAACTAAACATTATGTCCATGCCTTTTCTTCATTGCGATCGCGGGAGAAGTGATGCGATCGCGTTAGAAGAAAATAACTACTGGCCCAAGATGTTCTATGCGATTGCGGGCAAATCAATGCGATCGCATAGAAGGAAAATGTTGATCGTCCAAATTTGTGCTATGCGATCGCATAGAAGGAAAATACTGCTGCCCAAATTTGTGCTATGCGATCGCGGGCAAATCAATGCAATCGCATAGGAGGAAATACCAGATAGCAGAACAACAATTCAAACATAGGGAAAAAGGACTCGTAGCCCATCCGAAACACACCTGAGGCCCCCCGGGACCTCAACAAACATGCCAACCAATTCCAAAACATCATTCAAACTTTTTCCCACCTTCGGAACGCTTAAAACAACATCAAAACACCAATTTTTCATCGAATTCAAGCCTAAGAATTTCAAAAACTCTAAAATATGCTTTCGATCAAAAAGTCTATCAAACCTCGTTCGAATGACTTGAAATTTTGCACACACGTGACATTTAACACTACGGAGCTACTCAAACTTGCGGAATTCCATTCTGACCCTCGGATCAAAATCTCACTATCGAACCGGAAACTTCAAAAATAAAACTTTCGGCATTCCAAGCCTAAATTAGCTACGGACCTCCAAAACAAAATTCGAACACGCCCCTAAGCCCGAAATACCCAACGGAGCTAACGGAACCATCGGATTTCCATTCTGAGGCCGTCTTCATACTGTTCCGACTAAGGTCAACTTTCTAACATTTAAGCTCTCATTTAGGGACTAAGTGTCCCAAAATTCTCCGAAACTCAAAACAAACATCCCGGCAAATAAAAATAGCAGAAATAAATACGGAAAAAGCAGTTAATAGGGGATCGGGGCGTTAATTATTAAGACGACCGGCCGGGTCGTCACATCCTCCTACACTTAAACATTCGTTCGTCCTCGAACGAGCATAGAGACATACCTAAAGTAGTGAAAAGATGAGGGTAACGACTGCGCATATCCTTCTCGGTCTCCTAGGTTGCCTCCTCGACCGGCTGACCCCGCCACTGAAC